GGGAAAAAGGCTGTAACAGAGAGGCCCAATGCAAAGACTTGACATACCACCCCCAAAAGGCTCTCAAACTCTGACTAAAGACTACTGTGCAAAGGTAATTCTACCTTTAAAACTGTTTTAATGATGCTTTAAATCCAGTAGAAGCTATTATGGATTGTCCATCACTCAACTTTTCTACATTTGATGATCATGCTTTCCATTTATATGTGCCGTTGCCCATCAAATGCTTCTTTGTTTGCCCTTCACTTTTAAATTTCTTCTTATAGGGGCAAGAATCGCTACTTTGGATTCATTTTTTGAAAAACATTTTAAAAAATCCATTCCTGCCATCAGCCCTGAAGAGTTTCTGGCGTCTTTAAAACTCCTCTCCGCTTCCCTGACGCTGCTATCCTCGCTATTTCTCACCAGCCTAGCAGCTCCTCTCACTTCGCTTTGCTCTTGTCTCCTCAACCTCTAAGAGACTTTTACACGTTCTCCATGCCCAACCCCAGACCCTTCTTCTTTCTGCTTATGTTTATTTTTGAGAGAGAGATTGCGTGCATGCGCCGGCACAGGAGAAGGGCAGAAGAGGGAGACAGAGGATCCCAAGCAGGCTCCATGCAGACAGCAGAGAGCCAGATGTGGGGCTCAAATCCACAAATCATGAAATCACGAATGGAGCCAAAGTTAGACTCTTAATGGACAGAGCCACCCAGGTGCCCCTCCCAGACTCGATTTCCTTCTGTTATCCTCCTACTCTACTGAAGTCATTTCAAGTCCATGACTTTAGGACACACATGCGCCCTCTTTCACTCTATACGTATGTCGACACATATATGTATTTTTATTAGACATACACACGTATATACATATACGTACATATATATTACACACAATTTTATGCACATAGAACACATATTCTGCCCCTCTCCCTCAAAATGACTCATGGACTAATTATCTTACCAGCTACTACTCAAACACAATTCCTTCTTTCCCCTCTCACGTCTAGTCCTTCCCCTGAGTTGACCATCTCAGGCAACAATAGCACCATCTACTCAGTTGGTCAAGTCCAAAACGTGGGAATCCGTTTCTCTTTCACTCCCATATCCAATCCACCCGCATGCAACTCATTCTGCCACTAACTCTTATTATCTGTAACTCAATAATAGCTTGGGTCTCCCTGCTTCCACCGTTGGCCCTGCCAATCCATTCTTTACCAAGCAGCCAGAGATATTCATGGGGCTACCTCAAGAAAAATCCTTCAAGAACTTGCCACTATATCCTTAATAAAACCTTCTACTGGCCTCTTGATAGTTCTTGGTTTTTTTTAATTTTTTAAAATGTTTTATTTATTTTTTTTTATTTTTAAAAAAAAATTTTTTTTTTTAATGTTTTTTATTTATTTCTAGGAGAGAGAGAGAGAGAGACAGCGTGAGCAGGGGAGGGTCAGAGAGAGAGGGAGTCACAGACTGAAACAGGCTCCAGGCTCTGAGCTGGCAGTCAGCACAGAGCCCGACGCGGGGCTCGAACCCACGAACCGCGAGATCATGACCTAAGCGAAAGTCGGACGCTTAACCGACTAAGCCACCCAGGCGCCCCTAAAATGTTTTATTTATTTCTGAGAAAGAGAGACAGTGTGAGCAGGGGAGGGTCAGAGAGAGAGGGAGATACAGAATCCCAAACAGGCTCCAGGCTCTGAGCTAGCTGTCAGCACAGAGCCCGACGCGGGGCTCGAACCCACGAACCGTGAGATCATGACCTGAGCCGAAGTCTGACGCTTAACCAACTGAGCCTCTTAATAGTTCTTTCGACACACCACTCTCTCCTCTCACTATATTCACATGTATACTGTTCCCCAGGCCTGGAATGCTCTTTTGCCCTATCATTATCTTACCCTCTAGGTCTTAGCTTCAATGTCACTTTTCTTGAAAAGACCCTTCCCAACTCCAATAAAATTAGGTCCCATTATATCCTTACTAGAACCCTACATTTTTCTCACATAGCACTGAAAATAAAGTCTGTAGAAGATTGTTATTTGTGGAACTATTTGGTTAAGGTATATCTAGGCACACACAGTATTTGTTTTGCTAACCGATGTATCATCCCACAGTACCAACACCCATGTGGCCAATACCTAACAAACTCCTGTCTCCAATAAATATTTCATAAATGGTAAAACTCATGGGTCCTGGCTCTACAATGGATGCAAAACACAGCAAGATGCCAGCATGAGTATTTATTCTACTTCATTTGCATTTTTAGGGAAAAATGTTACAGTGGTGGACAAAGAAAGGAATTAAAGTAGAAGAACAGACAATACAGTTCTTTCTCGTAGTAAGGTTCTAGAGTGCTTGTCTTTTACTTCTTTTGTTCTTCTAGAGAACACAGCACAGAGTTAGATCCAGTTAAGGTAGGTACTTAAGCACTTACTGACCAAAGCAGACTATAAGACACTGATCAAGTGCTAGAATTAAATGTTACAGAATTCTAAACATTATGATTCACTGAGGGCTAGAAGCCTTAGAAGAGATTTTATGGAGGTAAAAGTAAATCTAGACTGGGTGATGAACAACTGTTTGGTATCTAGTCTAACTGTGCTATAACCCCTTTCCTGTCCTCCTTCAAGAGTGATATCTCTCTCTATCCAGATATGTACTCCTTAACATGACATGTTTCTTCGGCCAATTTGCTAAATACTAAACAAAAGTATCTTCCGTATAAGGTTCTATGCTTAGTTAACCTAATATATCTTTTTTGCTGACCATAAAGGACCCAAGGGGCATAAGGTAAAAACAAAACAAACAAAAACTATAAAGAAATGATTATACTACCTGTTGCACAAATGAACTATAAGCATAACATCTTATATACTACACTCATCTAATAAAGTAGAAATTAAAAGAATCCTAGAGTGTTATGTACTTTCTCAAGGGCCAACATACATCAAAATAATAACTATCCTAGCCATTATTTTCCAGGCACTGAACATGGGTCTTGATGTCCATTTCTTTCTAATCTTCAAAACAACCCTGAAAGCAGAAGAGGAGGCTGAAAGGGTTGAGGGGTTTCTTCAACTACACTGCTACCAATACAGGTGTTCTTTTTAAGACACTGTAAACTGATCAAAAGCGCCCAAACACAAACCCTCAAGTTTTGGAGAATTCGAAGTGCTTTGCTATTAAGGGAATTTAAAATAAAAACTTCCGTAGGATGCTTACAAGTCCAAGGTCTATAGCATCCTTCAATTTAAAAACCCTTTTTAAAACTTATGGGTAAATATAGACAGCTTTACTAATAAACTACTCAGCTTTGGTGGTATCTGAAATACAGCTTTATGATTTTTTAAATAATAAAAACACTGTAATAAAAGGGAAATTACCAGCTACACATCTACTTTACAAAGACGTTTAGTTTGGAAAGGATAAAAATAATAAACTTGAAAGAAAGTACAGGAGTATAAATAAGTGTTTTAAAAATCGTTTTTCGGGGCGCCTGGGTGGCTTAGTCGGTTAAGCGTCCGACTTTCACTTAGGTCATGATCTCGCGGTTCGTGGGTTCGAGCCCCGCGTGGGGCTCTGTGCTGACTGCCAGCTCAGAGCCTGGAGCCTGCTTCAGATTCTGTGTCTCCCTCTCTCTCTGACCCTCCCCTGCTCACGCTGTCTCTCTCTCTCTCTCCTAGAAATAAATAAAACATTAAAAAATTTTTCAAAAATAAAAAAAATAAAAAATAAAATAAAAATCGTTTTTTTCTGATATGACAAAATACCGTAATGGAGTAACAGGAGCAGTATTATCCAAACCTAAATGATTTCAGGTTTTTAAAGAATCAGTAAGCTGTAAGGATTGGGACCTCTGTAATTATTTCAAACTGTATGAATGTTACATTATCAAACACTAGGACAAGTACAGTCTAGTATGAAATGAGTGTATGAGATCAAATTATCACATCCAAAAGAAATTACATACTTTCTGTATTTAAACTTTTCCACATTTGCATTCACAATATCTCATCAATGTAATTAATCATTGTACACTTGTTAAAGTGGAAATCAAGTAATCTCAACTCATAAAAGTTAAATATTAGTAAAATCTCAAAGTGTGGACGTTATCTCAAAATAATAAGAAGAGATAAAAATCATATGTGGTCATAAAAAACATAATTGCGGACAGACATCAATAGACTTCATAGGGATGGTTTACTGTTCACTCAGTATAACTAGTTACGCAAGACCCCAAAAGGTTTTTCTGGACTCCTCCATAGAAAAAAAACAATTCTCTTATTTTTCTTTCTAATTTTTTTTCTCTCCCATCCCCCCATTTTGGACTTTGCGTTCCCTTACCCCCCCCCCGCAAGTCTTTTTATGTAGTCCTCTCCAAAACTTTACATAACAAAAAACAGATTTATGCCATTATCAGGAACAACATATCTCAAGATTTGTATAATCCTTTGCATAGTCAAGATAGCAGGTTTGAGCTTTAATAATTCATGGACTATCAACACACCCGGTTAAGACTTTCCCTTCAAACACAAGCGTTCCCACTCTCCAGACCCCTAGTGGGTGTACATAAGCCGCACAATACAACCTTTAGAAAGGGCGCAGATGGTAGGTGCTCTCCACTCTCTCCCCAGAGACATCCTCACCTAAACCTCCCCTCACATTCCCCTTTAGGAGCCCACTGGCCCAAGTGTCATGCAGAAGGATAGTGACTGGTAAAGCGTGGGAGAGAAAAAGCACACACGAGACACACAAGTGGAACAGTGCAAGTTGTTATATGCAGCCTCTCTTCCATTACCTAACTAGCTTAACCCGCTGCAAACTTTTATGAGATTAAGTTACATTCCTCTGCAATTCCACCCTTGACAGCTGACTGCAGAGATGCCAACGAGTCGTGCACGTCCATTCCCGCCACCTCACCCGTGGCCAGCCGGCGGCCACATCCCGCGGTCTGGGAGGACCAGTGGTTGGGAAAGAGGGAGGGCTGGTGAGAGGGCTGCAGGGAGAGGCGCCTGGAGAGCTCACCTTTTCAAGCTCATCATGGAGCTCAGCCAAGCTGGGCCGGAGTAGCTTCTCGCCCAGCTGCGCTGCGGTGTGCCGGTAGTGATCGATCCTGGGCACGGCGTCCATGGTGTTGTGGCCGAAGGTGCGCAGGTAGTAAGTGTTGGTGTGGGTGTCATAGTAGTAATGCTGGTGGTGTCCACTGCCGCCGCCGCCCGAGTGCAAGCTGCTGCCCTCGCTCAGCACCGTGTCCCCGCCGTTCTGGAAGCTCACGTTGGGCCCGTCGCTTCCGACCCCCGCCGCATCCGACAGGCTCTCGTCGGCCGATGAGGAGGCAGCCGGGTCCACGAAGTTTACGCGGAAGCGGCCCTTGGCTTCCTCGCTGCCTTTGCCTGGCCCGCTTTCGCCGCTAGCTTTCCCGTCCGCTGGGATCTCCTTGCCCCCAGCCCCGGCACCAGCTGCCGCGGCCGCCGCAGCCCGCCCGGCGTTCTCTGAAACCGGGTCCACCTGGAAGCGGCTCTGACTCGGGGTGGGCCCCAGGGGTCTGCCCAGTCCATCCCCGGCCGCCGCGGCGCCCTCCCCGCGGACCCCGCCGCCGCCCCGGCTCGCGGCCGCAGCATCCTCAGACGCTGAGGGCACGGCCGTGCCGGGCAGGTCCACCCCGGAGGCGGCCAGCGCGGCAGCTGGCGGCGTCTCCCCGACCCCGGGAAGCCTCGGCGCGCCGGAGGAGGGCGCCGTGGGCCCCGGTTCCATCGCCGCCCGACCCCCAGCGGACTCGGAGAGCCTGGCGGACTTCGCGGGCTGCACGCCCTCCGCGCCCCCCGCCGGCGGTGCCCGCGGCCGCAACGCCAGGTGACGGAATGGCTCGCCCCTCCACCCGCCCGCCGCCGCTAGCCGGGACCGGCACAAACGCCGCCGGCAGCCGAGTCGGCGCGCGAGTGCAGTGGGCGCGGGGCGGGCCCCGCTGTTTAAAGCCTCGGCGGGGCCGCAGCGGTGGCGGCTTCGGCGGCAGCACGCGGGAGGCGGGGTCGGCTGCTCCTCCGCCCCTCAGCCCGCCCACCCGCGGTCCCGCAGTGTCGCGCGGCAGACGCTCTCTCGGCGTCCCGGCCCTCCCGGGCTTCGGCGAGACCCCACGCGAGAGCTGCCTGAGCGAGGATCGCGTCCGTCCAGTCCGCACCGGGCTCCGGGCCGCGCGGGCAACACCAGCGGCGCGCCCAGGGAGCAGGCGCGGCGGCGCGCCTCCTCACCGCCGTCACCGGGATCTCCGCGCCGCTACCTCCTCTTCCGTCGCCCTCCTCCCACCCCTCCACCTCCTTCCCCCGCCCCCTCTGCGGCGATGTGGAGAGGGCCCCCGGCCGCCTCCCTCTCTCCCCGCCCCTGGGGCTGCACGTCAATGGGCCGGCAGCCCAGGCCTCGGCGGAACAGTCTGCGGAAGGCGCCCGGGCCCGCGGGCGAAGCGGAGGCCGAGTCTTGCTTCGGCGCACGCGGATTGCTGATGCTCCCGCGGCAGTTGCCACTACAGCGGCGGCTCCAGGATCTCTCTCTCCGATTTCTTTCTCTCTATGTCTCTCTCTCTCTCTCTCTTTTTTTTAATTTTTTTTTTTTTTTAATTCTGAGCTCGCAGTACTTGGGCTGAGCCGGTGAGATCTCGCGAGATGCTGCAGGGCCGCTTCACCTCAGGCGTGTGGTACCCGAGGCGGTGCTAGAGCTGCCGGCCGCCCCTCGCTCCGGTGGGTGATGCCGGGGGCTTTCCCGTCAGGCCCGCAGGTGCTTCCGGAGCGGCGGGCGAGGGGCGCCCCCAGGCGAGGTCCGCCCGCTGCTCCCGCGCGCCGCGACTGCCGGCCCTCACCCCAGGCCTGAGCCTTAGGGGGAGGCAGGATTTCCTCTGTGCTGCCTTTGAGGCGGTCGACTCCCCGCCCGGCCGCGTTAGATTTGCATAACCAGAAACTCTTTCCTGTGGAGATGCAGTGGGTGTGTCCACACTTCGATGACACCTTTATTTTAAAAGCTGTGATGTTTGAAGGTGAGAAGGGAGCTTAGTTGTGATACCTTATCGTTTCCAGATGGTTCTTAACTTGAGGCATTTCCAAAGAGAAAAGGAAGCTCGGCTCGGAAGCGAATACACCGCGGTAACTAATGGTAGAGCGGTGACTAACCGTGGAGCGCTAACCGGGAACTTTCGGCTTGGTTTAGGTTGTGAGGAATTCCTGTTTCCCTCCTCTACTCTGCAAGCCTGGTCTCTCTTCTGTGAAATGTAGAGGAATATCGTGATTTTGCAGCTTTCTTGGCGGCAGAGTCTATTTATAACCAAAATTCTGACCACAGCCCTCCCGTAAAAGCAGTTAACAACGAATGCTTTCTTCGCTCACTTGTCTTTTATTTATTTATGTTTATGCACTTTAAAATTTTATTTCTGGGGAATACCACCATACTTTGCTGCGCCCTGAAAATATGACCAAAGAGCCCTGCAGTTCGCAGGATTCTTTGGAAATGCTGTGAAGAAAGTTGCAACCAGGCAGTTTTCAAGAAATTGGGATACCTATGCTCTTACCTGACCTTTGCAACTTTTCTTCTAAATTTATTATTTCTATTCTGAAAATGGAGAGAGGAAGGAACCACTTTTGAATCATGTCCCCATGGTTTTTAAGTTCCTTCTTGAGCTGTAGTAATAGTAGGAGAAAACCAGAAGAGGCCAGAAAAATCAAGCAGTCCTTTAATCGTTACAGTTGCTACAAGGGCATTGCCTTAGTAGCTGATCTGTGTGGTAAGGATGCTAATTTGGTAGCTCTTGGGATTCATTTTTCATTGAGCTGAACAAATAGTACCTACTATGAGGTGCTCTGTATTTCGGGGGTATGACAGTGAGCAAAGCAGACAGTCACTTCTCTCATGGAAATCATAAGTCTCTTGGAAAAGAGACAGAGGCAAAGGTAAATAGATAAAATATATAGTATGCTAGTTAGTAGTGAGTGCAAAGGAAGGAGAATGGGATATGTGTGTGAGACAGGTGGCAAATTTTGTCATGGAAGGCCCCCACTGAGAAGGTGACATTTGAATGAGGGAGTGCTATGTATATTTGAGAAAATGCTGTTCCAAGGAGAAGAAGAGCAAAGACTGAAAGGTGAGAATATTCTTGACATGTTCATGGAATTAGGTACAGGCCAGTGTGACAAAAGCTGTTTTAACGGATGGGGACAATCAAAGGCAAATATGTCAGAGAGTTTAGGGGTTGGAGGCATGATAGACCAGAATGGACCCCTTTGGTTCTTGAAAGGACTTTAGCTTTTAATTTGAGTGAGATGGTATATTTGGTTTGGACTGACATGACACAATACCTTAGACTGGGTGGCTTAAATAACAGAAATTTATTTCCTTACAATTTTGAAAGGTGGAAAGTCTAAGATTAGGGTGCCGCTTGGCTAGCTTCTAGTAAGGGCTTTCTTCCTGGCTTGCAGTCTTTTCACTGTGCCCTCATTTGGTGGATAGGGAATGCTGGTGTCTCTTCTCATAAGGGGACCATTTTCATCTAATCAGTGCTCCACCTTTATGACCTCATTTAATCTTAATCATTTCCAAAAGGCACTATCTCTAATGCACTCAGTTGAATTAGGGCTTCCACATATGGATTTGGGTGGGAAGGTCACTTTAGTCCCTAGCAGATGGCAAGTTATTAGAGTGTCTGAGTTGAGGAATGACATGATTTGACATATATTTAAGACGTCAACATCACTGCCTTGTAAATATACAGACAGGTAAGCGGTGGGGCCAAAGAAAGAAACAAGGAAACTTGAGGCAACTCAGCAATCCAGGAGGTGATGTTATGGCATTGACCATAATGGGTAGCAGTGAAAATGGGAGTGGGAGGGAAGTGGTCGAATTCCGGAAGCAATAGAATTTTTTGATGGATGTGGAGGATGAAAGGGAATCCAAAGGTTTTGGTCTGAGCAACTGAAAGAAAATAGTGTTACTATTTTCTGAGACGGAGGAGATGGTGCATGGAGCAGGCTTGGATAGGAGGCATCTGAAGAGCTCGATCTGAGATGTCTGTTGGAGTAAACAACATGTATAGTAATAAATAGTAGTCACTTGTAGAAACGTGTAATAGCAAGCCGAGAAGTTCTAGGATAGAGAAGAACATGGTACAGTGAGAATGCAAAATAGAGGGACCGCGCTTAGGAAGGGAGGAAGTGACTTTTCAGCTGAGGTCTAAAGGATGATAAGTTGCAGGAGTGGGGAGAGGGTTTCAAAAAGGAGAAATATTTTGGACAGAAGCCCTCATGGACTGAACATGGCCTGACTAAGGAACTTGAGGCCAGTTTGGTTAAACCATGGAGATTAAGGGATAAAAGTGGTAAGAGATGAGTCTATCTATGCTAAAGGCCCTATATAACCATTAAGAGGTTTCCAGGGAGGGCAAGGGGGACATGACCAGAGTTAAATTAATTAGAAGTCTCTCTAGTTATATTGTGGCAGAAGATTGTAGAGAGGGGAAAGAATAAGAAAGGATACAACTTCAGTAATCTAGGCATAAAATGATAGCAGTACCTCTAGCTAACATTTATATGGAACCTATGTCCTAGATTCTGTGCTAGACTCTGCATTCATAATCTTATTTAATTCTTACAACAATACTATGAAGAGAATCCTAGCATTACTCCCATTTTACAGATGAAAAAGTTGGTCAAGAGAAAAATGGTTAAGTAATTTGTCCGAGGTCACACAGCCAAAATCTAGATTTGAATTCAGGGAGGTTTCTCCACTGATCGAGCTATGCTCATGTGGATTGTGGAGGATGCACGGGAGATGACAAAGGAGAAAAGTTTGAGAGATACTTCAGAGGGAACTCAATGGACTTGGAAATGGATCAAAGGAGAATAAAGTATGAATTTTCTAACTTTGTTTACCTGGGGTTAGATGATGGTGACATTAGTGAGGAAGAGAACATTCTAAAACTAGGTTTGGAGATGACTATGAGAAATTTGGTCTAGGGCATATTGGGGTGGAGGTACTTTTGAAACATAGAGGGGCGCCTGGGTTGGCTTAGTCGGTTAAGCGTCCGACTTTCGCTTAGGTCATGATCTCGCGATTCGTGGGTTCGAGCCCCGCGTCGGGCTCTGTGCTGACTGCCAGCTCAGAGCCTGGAGCCTGTTTCAGTCTGTGACTCCCTCTCTCTCTGACCCTCCCCTGCTCACGCTGTCTCTCTCTCTCCTAGAAATAAATAAAAATATTTAAAAAAAAAAAAAAAAAGAAACATGCACATAGAAAAATATTTGGCTACATGGGTCTTGGGCTCAAAGAAAAAGTTTATATGACAGAGTACAGATGTGGGGATCTTCTGCAAGTAGATGATAACTGACACCATGGACACAAGATCACTTAGGGAGATGGTATAGGGCAGCAGTGTACAACAGAACTTTTCTGCAGATAGAAATATTCTATATCACTGCCGCCCAGCATAGTAACCATGAGCTGCATGTGACAGTGAGCACTTGAAATGCCTAGCAACTATTTAATTTTACTTTATTGAGTTTCTTAAGTAGCCCCCTGAGCTAGTAGCTACCATATTGAACAGCATAGGTATAGAGTTCAAAAGCAGGCCTAGAGAGTCCAGCCTTGTGTAATTCCAACATGTAAAGACTAGATACAAGGAGGAGTGGCCTGAAAGTTGAAAAGAAAACCAAATAAGTCACTCTTGAAGTGAGATTAGCTGCATTAAACTGGGCCAAGAGATGGAGAATGATGAAAAGTGATAATGTATTGAATTTAGTAACATGTATTAGCTAGCCAACACATTGGGAGGGGCATGGTGGGGAGCAAGGGTTCCAGGAGATATAATCAGACTGTGCATGTGAAACTTGTAGAAACAGTGTCCGAAGACAACATTTGTTTATTAGATTTGCTGTGTGTCAATTTAGAGACTAACCGTGAGGAGAACAGACTACTTGTCAAGTGCCATGATGGAGTACTCCTATCATTTTGCTCGTTTTCCCCTTTTGCCAAAAAGTTAGCCTGTGGCATTTTATGTGTCAATATATTTACTAGTATGTATTGAATGTCCTTAGAATTTTAGGACTAGAAGAGACTTAGGTTGTTATTCTAAGGCTCTCTGTTAACAAATGCTAAAAGTCATAAAAGGAGACATAGATTATGTTAGACCTATAACTCTTCATAGCTATAGCTGTAGCTATTAGAACATGTGAGATACAAAACTGAGCCTTTGAAATCAGCTTTTTTTTTTTTTTAACTGTTAGTTTTACTTGGATGTACTGTATGTGTTCACATTCTACCTGGTTATTGGTTTTCCTTTTTTTACTGGCTGTCATTCTGCATACAGATTAGGGCAGTAGTATTTCTCTTGACAAATAAAGTGATTATCCTATTATGGAAAAAAAAAAGGTACCCTAGAGAAGCCTGTTTCTGCTGTAAATGTCGTAATTTTGTTTTCTGACTCAAGTCCCAATCACTCTTATTTAAAAATTTATATTTGTAAGTTATATTTTTCTAAAAAGCTCAGGGTTTTATTGAGTTTAAATCTTATCCCAGCAGTAAGCCCATAACACATTTAAAATAAACCTGATCTCAATCTTTTTTCATTCCCCAATCTATGAATGCATGTGTTTGTCATAAAGCTAATCAAGGAAATCCCTTTCACTCAAATTTTGTATTGGAAAAGTAATTTTCTGTCTGTACTGATTGACCTTTAATCCTTATAACTCTGCAGGTGGTGAATATTTGCAAACGTTGAAGTACAAAATTGTTATCAAATACTAATATATGAAGCAAATACTTTTACAAAATAGTTTAGTGGTTATAGTCATGCTCTTAGCCAGACTGAATTTGAATCTTAGCTTCGCAGGCACCTACTTAGGCTAGTGTGACCTCTGTGCCTCAGTTTTCTCCTGTGTAAATAGGGATAATAATGGTAGCTACCTTGTAGACTTAGGAAATTACATTAATTACTACCTGTATGATGCTTAGAATGCTGCCAGACCATGGTAAGCCCTACTATATACAAACATTAAA